ATAATAATAATAATAATAATAATACTGTTTCAGTAATAATGTTGTAATAATGTTAATGATAATGATGATAATAATGTTTCTTTGTGGTGCACAGGGTAAATTATTAGGATTCAAATTAAACGAATAGCTGTTAATAATTAAGAATATTATAGTGGTTTAATAAATTATCAATATGTTAGGACCACCTGGACAAGACCGAAACGTTTTTATTTTATATGTAAATTCTTTCTTTGATTTTCCTTTCTTCTGTAAATTCCTTCATTTTCGGGTTCTTGCAAAATTTAATCAGAACTACAGTTCCGCTTTGGTGCTACATAAACCAGTTGACTGTTCTTCGGTCAATAGTAACTCATTTCATGCCATTTTTATTATTTATGTACAATTTCTACTATTTTTAATCTAGCAGAAAAGATACCAAGAATATCTGGATTATAAAAATTGCTTTTAACAGAAACTAAATAATTTAATATTGCTATGGATAGGTAAGAATGACATCCATAATATACCGACCTAATGTACAAACTATCAGGCGCATAAAATTGAAAGTCTAAGTTAAAATTTCTTCAATTCCTTCGCATTTCAAGCTATCTGTGCGAAGAAATTGTGAAGGAAATGATGCAAGTAATAACACTTTATCAACAACAACCACCCAATTACAAGTGCAAAATGCACAGACAGTAAACTGTACTTAACGCAACCAGAAGTAATTCGAAAATCAAGGCGAAACTGGCTCTAATTTCCCACTAAGGTACTAAAAGAACCATGAAATTCCATGGATGCCAAAACCTGTGAAATATCATGGACGCACTTCAAAATTTCACGAGCAGTGAAATTTGCGCGAAAATGCGGTTCTAGATGTAACTTCAGCGGCATAATGAGGTGATTTTGGAGAAGCATAGGTGGGACGAAAAACAACGAGAAGTTTTCGGCGCATAATGAAATTTTCACGAAACTCGCATAAAAAAGTTAAAAGACGATAACAGTTTCTAGCAGTAAGAGGTCGGATAACCTATAAACCATCCGGTGCCGGGTGCCCTGGCCTTCACCGAAAACTCGCTCCTTTATCTCGTAGGAGGGTTGTAAATCACAGTGTAACGAGAAATAAGTACCAGCCACGTCCAATTTCTATCAGCACCAATCAAAAACGTTTACGCAAGAATCCGGAGTATGTTGCAATAGACTTTAACTTTTCAGATGTACCCGTTACTACCTTACTTGCTCAATCCTGGTTAATTACGAGCAAAATGCTGTGGCTGTATCGAAATCGGAGAAGAAAGAATAAAAACTAAAGGGCAAAAGTAATTAAAAGATTAACAAAAAGGTGAGATAAGACGTAACGGTTCATTAAGTCGTGAACGCAAACTGGATAAGCGTTGCGGTGCAAATTTAGAAGGCTAGGAAAGCGAAAAAACTCATATCTTCATTTATCCCAACCTTTTTTTTTTGCGATTTCCATTTTTTTCATCCCAACCTTGTGGGTGAAGTCCCGTCGCTACACAAAATTCCGACCCACCAGTTCTGAATAAATAACATATGCATCCACTTGCAAGTTGTTTACGAAGATTATCACCATCCGATTAACGAGAACTTAGAGACATACAAGGCTAAAAGCCGCTGAAAATTGTATTTAGCCACAGCTTTTAACGAAATACATTCTTTTGAAGCTGAAGCGACCCAACTTGTGAGAAGCGCCGACATGGAACAGAACTTTTTTTGAGAATTGTTTTTAAAAGATAGGCACTATGACGTAATGCACTTATTCTTTTTCCTAATTTAGCAGCCGCCCTTTTCTGAATCCCAGATGTTTTTTTTCAATGATTCCGATCAAAATTCATTTACTGAAAGCAGAGGAGCACTTAATTTCCGCTAAAAAGAGGTGTACTTCCAATTTGGTACTTTCGACCAGGATGTTGCTTTTTTCCTGTATTTCTTTTCCAGTAAGTGATTTCTCAGGATCGACTTCATGATTTTTACTACTGTTATAAGCATCTCTAAAGTTTCTGACGAGTTTTCATGAAAAATAAAAGAAAAACGAGTTTCGAATCGCTGATTCACCATTTTTTTTTACTCAACGCACTTTTTTTTCTCCCATCCAGACAATATTGGATAGGATTCCCCCATTGCTACTTTCGATGCCTCTGAATAT